TCTCTCTCTCTCTCTCTCTCTCTATATATATATATATATATATATATATATATATATATAGCCATAGGTTCATTTAAGAAATGGTAAGAATTTGAGGAGTGGATAAGTGATCCTGGCCCTTCATCTGGTCAACATTTGCAGCTTTGATTGTGAGGTACCGCATAATTATATATATATATATATATAGCCATAGGTTCATTTAAGAAATGGTAAGTATTTGAGGAGTGGATAAGTGATCATAGCCCTTCATCTGGTCAACATTTGCAACTTTGATTGTGAGGTACCGCATAATTCCTGACATGGTATGCAGAAGATAAAATGGTAGTTTCATAACTTTTACCAATAGGAGGCAAAACAAGTGAATATGTGAACCAATATGATTCACATATGAACTATATGTTCGTATATGAACCCATGTAATTCATGTATATATCATTTAATTGATTCACATATGAATTCGTGTGATTCACATATGAACTAATTAATTAATTCACATATAAACCCGTGTGATTCATATATGAACTAATTAACTGATTTACATATGAACCATGGATTCACATATGCACTTGCCTGCCTCCTATTTGTAAAAGTTATGAACTACCACTCTTTTTTTTGCTTTACCAGTCAAAGCCACAATTTTTTTTTACCAATCTTGATCGTATGAAGAGCTAGGATCACTTCTTACTTCTCAAATACTTACCACTTCTCAAATGAACATCTCCCTATATATATATACATATATACATCTACATATATGTACATACATATATCTACGTATATATACATACACACACACACACACACATATATATATATATATATATATATAGGAGGTTTACTTTGCAAACCATCTATTGCATACAAACCTTACAAACTAATCACATCCATCCATTTTTTTGATGAAAGGCCAAGAATGAAACATACTAAATAAGTAAAGTAAAAAAATAAAAGAAAAAAAATCATATTGGATACACGGAAGGGCAAAACGGGGAAAAACATGTTCTGTGGACCTGTTTCATTACAACTGTTATACATAAGAACCTGATGCAATCATATATGACCTAATGAACCTGTTTCATTACAATTGTTATACATATCTATGAATATAAACATGTTTCATTATAGCTGTTGTACATATAAACCTAATACAATCATATATGATATTGTCTCATTAAACAGTTTGAGTCTATTTCATTGGAGATTACCCTGTTTCATTGATGTTGGTAAGTATCTATTAAAAATTTATCCATTTCAAGATTATTATAAAAACAAATTGATTGATCATTTCCTAAAAAACCTCTAATCTATATAATCTTCCCGATTTATATATAATTAAAATATTAATAAAATTATCTATTACTAGTTGTCTACCCGCACAATGCGGCGGGATGTAAATGTTCTATCAAGATATATTCAACTTTTAAATATCATTTTTTTTTTGCAAAATCTCTTTGAAATACTTGGTGGTTCACATGTTGTATCATAAATCCAAAAATGAAAAATTAATACAATTTCTCATTCAAAAAGTCTAAATTTTATGTTTAAACAAAGTAGAAATTAGAATCATGCTTTAATCATACAAAATCATCATTCAAAACTTCTTGATACACCAAATTAGATGTGTAGACTTCTTCTGGATTGAACTTTTTGATAGGTTTCACCAATAACTTTGTATTACCACATGATATCCCTCTGGATAATGCCACGTAAAGTTGTCCGTGGGAGAATACCGATTCTGGTAGATAAACACCTACCACTGGAATTGTCTGCCCTTGAGCTTTACTGATTGTCATGGCAAAACAAAGTCGAACAGGAAATTGTTTTCTCTTTAATTTAAAGGGAAACATGTCATCTTCAGACAAACATAGAGGAATCCTTGGTAAAAATACCCTCTTACCAGCATGCTGACCAACAACTATTTCTGCATCGATAACATGCTGCTGAAAAAACCTCTACATGTCAACCTCATGCTGTTACACAATCCATTTGAGGGGTCGATATTCCGCAATAGTAATTTTCGAGCATCTAATTTTAAGCCAGAGGTAATAAGGGGGCAAACTGCTAACAGTCAGTGAGTTTAAGAATTCCATCGGATATAAGTTTATTTTTATCGTCTTTTGCTTCGTCAAAACTACAGTACATTTTTTCCTCTCTGCAGATTCTTTCGATCAACTGATCATTAATCTCGTCGACATGCTTATTTTTAGTTGTTAGTATCGCCCTCGAAATGATATAATCTGAAGTACTCTCCCAGGTTTGAAGAGAAGGAAAGATTTCATCAATCAAAGCATACATCGATTCATTTTTATTGGTGTAAGGAATGGCCATGTCATCAGGTATGGGAATAAAATTTCTGTCTACTGATTCTTCATCTCCATAGCTGACATGTAACAAAAAATCTGAAAACCATGGATCAGTAAGTGCTCTCATATTGATCTTTAACCGCAACTGAGTTGGTGAGCAGAATAGAGTCAACTGAGTGGCTCCGTACAATACTATACTCTGGAAAAGTTATGTGTTTATCTTTAGTGTGTGGAAGGAAAAGACAAAAATAAACATGCATGGTAAGATTCATTTGATCGTTGAATACTGGGATGACACTGGAGGTCTATTCAGCATTCACTAAAACGAGCTTGTAATCATTGAATGCCGTTTCAGATCACGAACGCGCTAGTATCTAGTCTTCAGTTTCAGTCTTCGACATTGCTGAAGGTTATTTGGTGTGACTTTTGTCTTCTTGAAGTATAACAGTCACTGGAGAGTTACAATACATGTTTAGCAATCAGGCTTGAAATGCACAGTATTGGGTGTATAATGTTGATCCCAGATCTCTCAATAACACTAATAATCTAGTTATGAATAACCAAATTATAGTGATTTAATGAAGAAAGTTATGAAGTCTCAAGAATAAAATAAGAATATTTAAGAACAACTTTGAGCTTCAAAGATTTTACTTTATAAAATCATAAACGAAAAATAATGAGTAAAAKCCTTATTTTTACAATAGACCTAATCATCTATTTATACTAAACGACTATTAAAAAGATAACTATCTAATGCTACKTTCTAGCAAATCGTCTAGCTAACAGATAGGGTTTATCTTTCTCATGGATAAACATTAATCAATAAGATAAACTTGAATTCCAGCTGTTGATTTGTCATCTCCAGCTGTCATTCATGATATGATGATTTCATTCTTATCTTCAAATCTTCATTGCATGCTTGGATGAAGTGCTGGAAAATCTTCTAAGTGTTTCTTGTCCAGAGGATTGATGAGGATGCTCTTTCCATCGCATCCTTGGACCTGTCCATTGATCCTCTGGTTGAACTTGTCCATTGGTCCAATGGTTGAACTTGTCCAACGGTCCAATGGTTGAACTATCCATCGATCCAATGGTTGAATTCCAGACTTAGTCGATTCTACCTTGATGTCTTTATTGGTCTTCTGATTCTTCATCACTTGTTGTTTTTCATTACTTTTTACATTTTGCATTGTGGGGTTTAACAATCTCCCCCTAAGTAATGAAATAACAAACAAAGTCTAATCTAGACACATATGTGAAGAACATACACTATTCTAGTAGAAAAACATCAAACTCCAATTTTTATTGGATGATGAAATTTCTTTACAATACTGGAAACAAATTACATCAAGGCAAAATAAGCAAAAATTCCATCTCATCACGGACTACCTGAGTATATCTCTCTGAAGTGCAAGAGTAGTCTTCTATAGACAATGATCGTTGATATTTCGTGAATGAGATGGCTTCCCTCTTCCCTTGGCACATGGTTTCTGCCCAGTCTTTCTCTAATGTTTTTCTGAAACCWTTCAAGTKTATCTGTTGAATACTYGAAGGCTTCAGTCAATCTGAAGAACTTTTTAACCCCAAACTCATTCTTGTAAACAAGTCCAAATTTAGGTTGAGTAAGAACTGAAGCAGAACGTATCTCCTGCAGGCCCTAGAAATCTTCATTTGGAGGGGCGCAAGATAATCTCTCAATGCCTAGCCTGAATTCAATTTCAAAATCTGTCTTGGCTCTGAGCTTTACCAGGGACTCCATTGTTTTTACTATCGCTCGGTTTGCCATTCCAAACCTTATGCCATGATCCTGCCTTTGAGCTATGTAGGCGTATAATTCAATCAAGTCATATGGATTGAGGTTGATGAGGTCGTTTTCGTTGAACACGTTAACTACCCCATGAACTCTCTCCACGTTGAACTCGATGTATCGAATAGCTCTATTGGCAAAGGACTTTATTTTCAAGTCCACGACTCTCCTTATTCCTTCATTCGAAAAGACAGCTCGAGGATCTTGAGTAGTTTGTCTGACAAAACGATGGTGTAGGAGGTTCATTGACTCAGGTGATAAGATTGGAGGATTTGTTGACAAACTTTCATCGCGATCTTGTACATGTATTGATGGATATTTTCCATCATTATTGGTTCCCTGGGCAGCAATTGAGGTCGTCTCCTTATCGACTCTATGCTTTGAATTATTTCATCCACCAGGCCTTGAGGAGGATGCCTCGAGGAAGAAGGGATGTCCGCATGCACCACAGGTTGTTGGGTTAAGGGTTGTGTCTCGGCTTGGGGTTGTGTATGGGTAAAGGGAGATTTTTCTTTGGATGGTTCGGTTTCATGTGGTTGAGAGGTTTCTGGTGGGGTTTGGGGTCGTTGAGGCGATGGTTGGTTTTTTGTAGATTCTGGTT